GGCGCTTCAAAATAAAGTTGTAGCTAAATCCCGGGCATGGCCGCTCTCAGGCTTCTCTCTGGTGCGAGTAAGAGAAATCATTTCTCATTCGCACTCATTTATGCGCAACACTACTAAATTCACGAGCGCTGCGAGTGTCGAGAATCGGAAACTGAACTCGAAACCTAAAATGAGTCCACTGATTTTACAGAGTGGAGTCTCCTTATATCTTACTTCCTATTCCTTACATTTAAAAAGGCGCTCCATTCTGACAACCTAACCTTGAAAATTCTGTAGTAAGATCAATGAGTCAGTTAGGTATAGAAAGATTATGTCGTCGAAGTATCGAATGATATCAAGTACTTTAATGTTTCGCTAAACACGATTAAAACATGGGTTTGTTTGGAAAATCACAGGAAAAAAATCCTAAGGAAATGGTGAGTTGCTTTAAAATATTCCTTTTTATTCTCACGTATTGATATTAATCATTATATAGGTTCAAGAATGGACTCACAAATTGAGAAAAGAAGGTTATCAACTTGATAGACAAGTTAGAGGTAAGAAATGTAAAAAAATTTTTAAAGAAATCATTAAAATTAAAATATATAATCACAATTAATCAGTAGCAATCTTAATCTTCATATTGGAAAGTCAAAATGTTAAATTAGCAAGTATTAGCATTAGATACACAAGATATGAAAATGTTGAAATCTTTATTCTCAATAAAATTTAGGAAAAATATAATTTCAGGAAAATTTTTAGTATTTTCTTAGAATATTAAAAATTTTTGTAATTATCTAGTCTTTCTTTTTACATGCTTTTTTTATTTTAAATTATTAAAAAGTATCTATATTCTAATATTATTGATACATGTAATGTTTTCTGTATAGCAATTCAGAGAGAAGAAGAAAAAGTTAAACGTTCCTTAAAAGACGCAGCAAAAAAAGGAGATAAAGATGTATGCAAAATCCTTGCAAAAGAAATTATAAGAGCTCGCAAAGCTTGCAATAAGATTTATACTTCTAAGGCACATTTAAATTCTGTATCATTACAAATGAAGAATCAGTTAGCAACAATCAGAGTTGCTGGTTCAGTCTCTAAATCTACAGAAGTGATGCAAGCAATGCAGTCTTTAATAAGAGTACCAGAAGTGGCTGCAACTATGAGAGAAATGTCGAAAGAGATGATGAAGGCAGGTATTATCGAAGAAATGTTAGACGAGACGATGGATTCTATTGAGGATTCTGAAGATATGGAGGATGAAGCTGATGAGGAAGTTGATAAGGTAGATTGTTAATTAGTAACATAGTAATTGAATAAAGTAAAATGATTTTTATTTTATTGCATATTTTATGAATTAGAGCTACTTGTGTATGAAAAGCTTGTAATCGGTCACTTTTAAAATTTTTATCAAAATTAATGTATATAAATAATATAAATAATCATATTTTAATATAAAAACTATATTAAAACAAAATTCTTTTACATTCTCTTTTAGATTTTATGGGAAGTTACAGCTGGTCAGTTGGGTACAGCTCCTGCAGTTGTTACAGAAAATCCTGGAATTGCTTCTACTTCTGCAGAAGATGAAACAGAAGATGATGACAAAGAACTTGAAGAGATGAAAAACCGATTACAAAGTCTTCGCAGTTAAATAAATAATTGCATAATTCAAAAGTATTTGTATCATACACAAATGTCAGGGAAATAAGTATCTTAATAACATTTATTAAATAAATAATATAAGCTATATAAGTAGTAGCACTTGTGTGCTTATTTATCATAATTTTATTTTGTTATTTAATGTAAATATTATATTATTACATTGTAGATACCGTTTCACTTTGTAGAGTAAGCATTGTAAGTACTGTATACCTATTTTTACATTTGTTATTCAATAATTTTCCTTTGCTAATATTTACGAATTATTATGGAAAATGATAGTGTATAGTAAGGCTAAAAAAGTAAAATAATATAGTAAATTACAAAATTTTTAAAATCAAAATTAAGAAAGAAAATTACAAAGATAACTAAATTAAGCTTTTAAAAATCTTTAATTTTCATGATTTTGTATTCTGTCATTTATTTATAAATTTATTTATAAATGTAATAGAAAAACTTTGAATTTGGCGTTTAATATATTGGCATTTAATTCAATGTTTAGGTATTTGCTTATAAATTATTTATGAGAAAAGGACATACAGTTGCAGCAAAGTAAATAAACTATACAATACAGTATTTTAACAACTTTATAGTGAAATGAATATTTTACGTTGAATAATATTGTTAACAAATAAATTGTAACATTTTATTTGTATCATTATTGTAATATATCGATGTTATTGTTACGAGCGGATATCCATAAAAAATAAGACACCTCGTTTTGAATTATTATTTTATTAAAAAATAATTCTATGCAATTAATAAGCACATTGTTTAATTAATAAACGTAATAAAAATTAAATAGGAATCAATTTATAAAACCTTTCACTTAACATAAATTTTATTTGTAATGATATTGTGTTACAATTATTTTTAACGCCTTATATAAATATAATAGTAAAAATTTTTTACGACTAAAAACACATACATATGTATCGAAAAAGTGATCATATTTATTCTTTTATAAATGACAATTTTTATATCGAGGAGAAAAAAATCTTTGAAAATAATACATTAATGATTAATATACAATGCTGTATCTTAGCCATTTTTCTTCAATAGTTAATTACTTCCAAAAAATCCACTATTTACAAATGACTTGCTGTGATATCCACCTATGTTAAAAATAAAGACAATTTCAAAAAAGTTGTTTATAACATTTACAATACCATCAAATTAATTTAAATATAACAGTATTCGGCTGTTCATCCTGACGAAGTGAACTGTAATGTTCACGAATGTTGGTATTCTAAGAAAGGATTTGGACATGGAAATAATGACGCAAAACCCGTCATTTCTGTATAAATATGTAAATCAATACAGGTTAATATTATTCAAGAAGAATTAAAATGTAAGTAAATTACAAAATATGAAGATTATCATTATCTTAGAGAAGAAAAAATAAAAATATACACAATATATTTTTCCTTTGTAGTACAGTTTCTTTGACAAATATTATTTATCACTATAAAATGAGCACTAGGTATGTAAATATTATACATATATGTATGTATGTACAAATTGGCGCACAAAATGTATTATTTTATTCATAATTGTTCTTATACTGATTCTACAATGAGTCGATAGTCGCCGTAGTCGGTAGTCTTAAATCTTATCGGCAAAATTGACCAATAGCCAACTTGTACGACTCTAACGTTGATTGGACAACTTTATTGATTAAGACTTTCCGACTATAGTTTCATTGTAGAATCGGCTTTATATTTAAGATCATCTTTAGGTACAATCTTAGGATGTCATAAACCAATCAGAGAGCCATATTAACACTTTGTATAATAGTAAGGTGTTAATGATGAAAACGATCTTGAAATAAAACGGATGATTATTAATATCAGCCGAATTATTTCATTAAAACTATATTTGCAGAGTATCAAATTTGGTAAATGTACATTTTAATTACTTCTTATCGATTTGAATGTCCTTTAAATATGCTTTAGAGGAGCTTCCTGAGTGATTTTTTACAAGAATTAAGTAGGGGATAGTATTGGTATAGGAGATACAACAAATTAACGTTTCATAATAAGATTTGTATAAATATGTATTTATTTTATCGTGGAAAGTCGAACACTGGTAGGAAAGGAGATAAACTTCGCTCCCAAGTCGTATGCTTAAAGGTAGGGAAAAAGAGATAAGGTGAACCTCGTTTCGCGTGATTGTACTGTTTTACATGGATTTTTGTTTTTTCATAGTTTTCTGATTTTTCATACAAAGCCTAGGTTTACTCCCTATCCCCTTCCCGTTAAGGAGCATACGACTTTCTACGCAAACTGAGTTTTATCCCACCACCCCTTCTGTAGTTTGGAGACGCACGACTTTCCATGCAAAACGAGTTCCACCCCATCTCCCCTCTCTGCTAGAGGTATACGACTTGCTATACATCCGTAATATTACTCCTACACTAATGTCGTCCCCTACATATTATGGAATATATTTATTTATTATATCTTCTGAACTCCAATAACGATCCCCACTCCTGTGGTGAATCACTCAAGATAAACTCTCCTCTACAACATAATATCTAATGAACAAATTGGTGAGGTGTAATCTAAACTGTACTTTCATCTTATATTTTTTAGTAGATAAATCCTGTTCTGTACGTTGTGGAAATTTTGTCAACTGTAACATCACGAGTAGGAATTGGACGGAGATAAAAGCACGCGCACACATCAGTTTATAAAATAGCAGATAACGGACAGTTGACTTAAAATATTAAACATGAAGTAAAAGCTGCATTATAATACTTTTTGCGAAATCTAAGAATGTAACGAAGACTCTTCCATTGACGGAATCGTTTCCATTCACATCATGCAATTGCGCTGTGCATTAGATGAAGATTTGTGTGGAGAAATAGTCAAACACAAGGGTTGAATTGGTAGTCAAACTTTTCCATAAGAGGTTGTTAAGTAAAACGTCAGTTATATTGAATATTATCTATTAGAAACAATTTTGCTAATTAATTCTATACCAATTATCTATACCAATTTTGTGTGTTAAAAACAAATATGTTATATATAAAGTAAGTGATATAACATTTTATGCACCATCTTATATATACATACATATAAACACGTTATTAATATAGAATATGTAGTTAATTATAATGGTATTTTTATGCACTAATTAATCTACTCGTAAATAAATTGTTTTTCTTTCTAATTGGATTTGAATACTAAACTAATTACACTTTTATCAATATATAATTAAATAGAACTGGAACTAGAGAATGCGCCGAGGGTCACAGTTTTTTTTCGTTTTTGCCTTAACTTTAATTTCCACCAATAAAGATTAACTTTAATCTCGGTTTAACTTATTGTTTATCTTTTTCTAATTTATAAAACTAGAAAAAGACAAAGAGTAAATTGAACCGAGATTATAATTAATCTGCATTGGTGGAAATGGGCATAAGAGCGATTTGGATGTCGAAATGTCTAGTCCCGGTTCTGTAACTGAAAGAGTCCTTCAAATCGATAGAAAAATAGTAAATTTATAATTTATATAATTTTTTGTGAAAGAAAGCCATAGAGTGACTTTTAGGCCCAGTTTTACAACTCATGATTAACTCTTAACCGAGGTTTAATTTATTCCTTATCTTTATTTCTAATTGTTCAATTTCTAGAATTGTAAAGAGATGAAAAATAAATTAAACTTCGATTAAGAATTATAAGTTGTGAAACAGCCTTAGAGAAATATTTTAAAATTAAAAACTCGGCTTAACTTTTAATAATTAATTAATGTATCAAGAACCAATTTTCATGGGTTAAAAATGTATTAACAATAAAGAATATTATTTTCAAATTAATTGTACAATTTTTCACAAAGTCACGTATATTTTCACTGTTGATTCAAAGTAGCTTTGATGTAAATAAATCATTGGTGAAACAATAATATCGTAAAACAATATTATTGCTATTAATTTTAATACTTAAATTATATTCTTACCATAAATATTAAAAAGTTTTGCTTATGTATATATGGACTATTAAAAATCGGCAATTAAATCATAGAAATTTGACAAATTATTATTAAAATAAAATTATAAATCTATTTTCCAATTCAAGGATTTTTTATTTCTTTATTTTCAAAAGTTATTTTATAGTACTTTTTATAATCATATGCATTATTCAAACAAATAAATTTTTCAGAGATTTTCTTGAACATTATTCAATATAACATAATTGAAGACTTTATCTCATCAAGAAAATGTATTGAATAATTATCTTTAAAAAAATATAAATTCCAGTAATATTATTTGTAAATTTTCAATATTTTCTAATTAACAAAATTATGAAGAAATTATGAAGAAATCTTGATTTAAAAATATATATTCGTTATTTCAGAGTCGATCAATTACCGTGTTAACAATTGATAATTTCATCATCGCTCTAGCTTGTGTTGGTAATCGATGCATCAGTGGCGTCATTTTTTTTAAGAAATACTTAATCTCATTGTTGATAGGAAACATGGTTCTTTTCATGGTTTTCGAAATTTTCTTCTGTCGCTTTTCCTTGTTTCTTGAAATGTTTTTCTTCGTCGTTTTTTTCTCCTTTTTAGAATCTTCAAAATGTTGCTCTTCCTTTACCTGCATCAGCGTTAAGAGTTATTAAAGTCACATGAATTATTATTCGTAAGTATAATTACAAATATACAACTATTTTTCATTAATTTTTATCCATTAATTATTAATCACTTTCATATATATATATATATTAATCAATTATCATTTTATAACAATTATATATAATTTGTTATGTGTATATAACTGAATTATGCTATATTTAATTTACAAGTAAAGGTTCACACATATAAAAACTTAATTGATCTAAATTATTGACGTTAATTATAACGTTTTAATTACAAAAACTACAATCATTGTAAAATTGTTAAATTTCTATGATTTAATTGTCGATTTTTAATAGCCCATATATATATATAAGCAAAACTTTTTAATATTTATGGTAAGAATATAATTTAAGCATTAAAGTTAATAGCAATAATATTGTTTTACGATATTATTGTTTCACCAATGATTTATTTATATCAAAGCTACTTTGAATCAATAGTGAAAATATACGTGAGAGAGACTTTGCGAAATTACAAATAATTATAAATAACTGTTATATTCAAACACATTTGAAACTGTATATTTGTAATCGTTATTATAATAAATATAAAAATATTTTATCAACTAACCTGTACTTCGTTTTCAACATTCACTAACGTCAAAGGAATCACTTGTTCCTGTATTTCTATTTTGTTAGAATTTAAAGTTTCTTCTACAGGTTCTGAAGGCACTTTTAAAAATTCTATTAAATTTTTATGTATATTTTGTTTCTCATTTTCCAATATAACGGAAGTTTGACCGTTATTATTTTCCCAAATTTGTTCATTTTTCACGTTCTTTGTCTTATTTTGCTTTTTTACTTTTGACAATTTTTGCTGTTGTTGCAGTCGTTGTGGTCGCTTTTGTCGTGGTCGCTGTTGTTTTGGTTGTTGTCGTGATTGCTGTTTTACTCGCTGTTGTTCTTGTCGCTGTTCTTGTTCTGGCAAGTCTATTTTGATCAGCAATCCCGGAGGAATACTTGATAAACTGTGAACTGGTATCGGAGCACCAAGAGTTGATATATCGCCAGTAAATGGCACTATAATTTTTTTGATGTTTGCCTGATTATTTGCAACATTTGAAGAGATATTATTAATTGTAATTGGCTGCAATTGATCTCCCAACTGAATTTTCCAATTAGTTGTAGATGGAAGAGGTAGTTTTTTTATCATTTGGTTCTCCAAATAGTTAGGAATAGGTCTAGGAATATTAATGGAAGTTGGTCTTCGGGATTTTCCTCGTTTTTTTGCCAATGGTGCAGGTTTGTTGTCGATCTTAGGTTTTTTACTAGACACTAATGGTCTCTCACGCTTAAGCGTCTTGGAAGGGTCTTCTCCGAGGTCCTGATCGTCTTCATTTTGCTCTACAATATTTTTAGATTCTGAAATGTCCTTGATTGTGGGAACTGCATCACATGGGCCAACTTTGTGGAAACTTTGGCCAATCTGAAAATGTTTTGAACAAAGTACAAGTTTGCGTATTTGATTGGGAGACATTTTGAGTATATCTTCCCTGCCCAAGAATTGACACCAACGCAAACATCGACCTATTTCGTATGCTGGGAATGGATGAAACTTGTAACGATCAATTTTGTTTCTCGGATCGGCTCTTGACCGACCACAAGCCGCACAAGCCTGGCTTTCCAATACTGTAATAGGCAGTGGTTCTTTTTTGCTCTTACTTGAAGGACTAAAAAGCTTTGGTTCAGCCTGTAATTCAGTAATAGATTCTGTTTGGTCCTGTAGCTCAATAATAGATTCTTCTCCATTATCTGGATCACGAATATTAGGAATCGCATTTTCTACTAATCTTCCCTTAAATCCTGGGATGAATTGGGAACGATCAAAATGTTTGGAACAGATATAGCAGTAAAGAATTTCCTTTCTTGTTAGTCTATAATAAGAGTCGACACCAACAAAGTCCAACCATTGGAGGCAGCGGAATTCTTCTCCAGGAAAGTGATGAAAGGTTGTTCCATCGTAATCCTCTGCAGGTGGATCTCTTCGTGTTCTTCCGCAAAGAATACATGTTATATTGTACAAACTTTGTTTAGGATCATAAATCGATGGAACAGCTGTCAAATTTAAACGATCCATATATTCATTAAGAAAATCTTGAGGCTGAAAATGCTTGGAGCAGATCATACGCTGAAGAAGCTGTTTTTTTGTAAGTTTATAGAGATCTTCACGACCGCAAAACTCTAACCAACGACAGCAACGAGCTTCATCATTCACTGGAAAGCCGAAAAACATGTACTCTTCTTCACGATTATTGGGGTTCATGCGTGAACGACCACAAACGACACAAGGATGTGGCATGATTAGAAAATTGCAAGTCTCAAAAGCAAATAAATCAGTTCAAAATTGCAATTACAAATCCGAAAGATCAAATAGTTCTTAAATCTTTCATTATCATAATTTTAGTTCGAAAATATGGTTTTTGGATCCTTTTTCTTCATAGTTGAAGTAGTAGCCCATAAAGAAATTCTCAAATCTTTTCTATCCATTGTTTACAGTTAAAATTATAATTTTCAAAGTGTCTTAAATTTTTTTTAAAGTTGTTAAAGATTAAGTTTTTAAATACTTTCTTCTTTGAAATTGTTGTCAAACAATTATCAATTTTTTTTTTTATAACACAATTACTATCTCATAAAATCAAAAGATTATCAAATTAAATGTCTTTTCATAAGTTAGAATTTAAATTATAATTTCTAAAAAGTTTTTTCTTTGAAAGAGAAATTCTTTCTCTTCACACACAATGTGTAGCACAATTTTACATAAAAATAAATTCTGAATTTTGAGATAGAACTCTGATTTGAAACAGGTCTTCGAAATATGCTACCATTACACCTGAAAATAATTCAACTTATGTTAAAGATGTTTACAATAAATAAGTATAAATAAATAGAAACAAATTAAAGGCACTGATTTTTTTTGTGCTTTATATCTCTGTTATTAATGTCTATGTACTCATCAACAATTAACCTTTATAGAACAGTAAATCATTATAATTGCATTGAAACAATATATTTTAAGGTAAAAAATAGAATTAATTATAACAAATAATAAATTTACTCAAGAAAAATCTGTAAAATTTAAAGGATGATCCCTTTTCCGCTCTCTAGAGGTTAATTATTCTTTGGTCTTGTTTATTACATTCAAAAGAGGTTAAGTACAGAAAAACTTTCAACATTCGATTATAAAAATGATAACAACGAAATAGAATTCGATTTAAAATTAATTATATTATTTCTTTTACAATTTCATAAAACTTGCGATATTTATTTGTATATTTTGATGTAGTTTTAAAATTTGTTTCACCGAAAAACGTATTTAATTATTTGAGAGCTTTTTACCTTTTAATTAAACATTTTTTTATATAACGAATAAACTGGAATAAAACTTCGACGTCTTTATTTCACTGAAATTCTAAAAAATCTGTATTGTTGAAAAGATATTGTAAATTTATTTAAGGAATTCTCCGCACTTGTTGCGCTTTCATACAACGATATAGGGTTATTGGGGTTATGCTTCTCTGCGCAACTTCTGAAATAGTCGACAGAATAGAATCTGGAGTTAACCTACAAACCACACAATTTGATAGCTGCTAACACTTGTTACCGAAAGAGAGTGGAAAATATATGTAAGTATATATCCATTTAAATAAAATTGCTTGGGAAATAAATATATAGTATAATAATAAAAATACCTGTTTAAATAATTGTGCCATGACAATGAGACACTGTACAATCAGTAATTGATTATATATATATATATATATATATATTTTCTCAAAGGCAGTTGATTTTTTAAATGTCCTTTTTGGTTCTGTTACAATTAGGTATAAATTTCTATGCAAAGAAATTACAAATAAGTCCTTTATGTATGTATTCGATCTCATTTAGAGGATCAAGCTTTGGTAAGTTTTATCTGAAATGTATTTAAATGCTTTAATATATTACAATAGATAACATATCATTAAAAGTAATACCTCATATGAATTTAAAGATACATATATATATATTTCTAGACAATAGGTTTACAAAGTTGAAGAATTTATATGTACTTATACAACATATTGATTCTTATAATATGTAATTTTCATCTTTTCAAATATAAATTTAAAATAGTTTGTGCATACAAAAAATTCTGATTAGATTCCGTAAGATTAATTTGTTTAAGTTATTGTTTTTTATACCTAAAAATCTGACAGATCAGATATTTATTAAGAAGTCAAGAATTAAATGAGATTTATCTATTAAAGAAGAAGATTAACAAGATGACAGAGAATACTACCAGTCCTTATGATATTAATGGACAACATTTTAATTCTGACATGTATTTTCAAAAATTATTAAAGGTAAGTTAATTTAAGAAAATATTTTATAAGTTACTTTTTTTTATTCCTTATTATTTATTACTTTCTTAACTTTTCTAAAATAAAATTGTTATTGTACACATTTTAAAAAAACTATTTTGTATTTTATATAACAAAAAGAAATGTTGTTTACACTTTTCATTGTTTATACTTTTCATTATTTGTTAGGAGTGTACATTAAAACAAATTATGGATCATGAATCAGAGATTATAAAAAATACTCAAGCTTTACATTCAGATATGCAGACCTTGGTGTACGAAAATTATAATAAGTTCATATCTGCTACCGATACTATACGCAAGGTAAATCATTTTTTGAGAATTTATTAGACTTATCTTTAATTTTTAAATACATTTCTGTTTTAGATGAAAACTGATTTCAAGGAGATGGAGGATAATATGGATCTTTTAGCACAGAATATGGAAAGCATCACTTCTTTTTCAGAGCAGATCTCTTCAACTTTACATGGAACAAGACAACAAATTGCTAAACTCTCCTCTGTACACACTTTGTTGAAAAAATTGCAATTTCTTTTTAAGCTACCTGGCAATCTTAAAGATAAAATAAACGAGGAAAAATACGCAGAAGTACGCATTTATATTTTTATATATGAAATATAATATATAACATAACAATAATATAAAACAGTATAAATATAACGAGGGCAACGAGCCAATTAAATTAACGAACAATTTAATTTAATTTAAACAATCATATATAATAATATAAGATAATATAAAATCTTTTATGTCAATTTTTAGTTTTTAAATTATAAACGATAAATTATTATTGCTTTCCAGGCAGTTCAAGATTATGTCCATGCGCAAAGAGTTTTAAATCAATACAACAATATGCCATCCTTCCAAGGCATTCAAAAAGACTGCGAGGATATTTTGGAAGAATTAAAATCTAAACTCAGGTTACAATTTCATAAGAGAGATGCTTCTGCTAAAGCTTTAGCTGAAAATATAGATCTTTTGTTACAATTAAAGGAACCAGCTAATTCATTATGCACTGAATTCTTGATACATGCTGAAGAAAGATTAACAGAACAATTAGATATTTTAAAAGATATGTGCGAAAACGACATTATAGAGTTCGTAGATATGGCTTCTTCAGGATTTCTTAGTGATTTATGTTTAATTGTGACTTCCTACGATGATATGTTCATAAATCGACAATTGGAAGACGATTTAATTGATGACTTTGAAATAAAAGCTATGGATCATTTGAATAAGTTTATTTTGAGCAATATGAAAAAATATTTTGATTTGATGGGCAAAAGAGTGGAAGATGTAGCAGATACAGCGATTTTAGTGAGAGCTCTTGATAGATTTCATCGCAGATTACAAGCAATGAATATGTTGTCCAAGGAGACAGACTTTGCTAGGTAATGAAGAAAAATAGACATGTTAAATATGATATAAAAATAATTTAGAACACGTATAAACACACACACACACACAAAATCGATTATAAATATAATGAATACAATTTTACAGAATTGGTACTGATCTTGTTATAAATGCTGGCCGAAAACAATGTCGTAATCATTTGCATAGTCTAAAGCAACATTTGAGTGAAATTTTAGTGAAAGTAAGGCAGACTTTAGCTACTAAGGTCACACAGGATGGTGATGGAGGATTAGCAGAACTTCAAGCTATGCTAATTATGCCTACTATTGAAAAAATTAAAGGAGTTTTACAGGATTTATTGGTTTGTACCTCTAACTCAAATCTTTATACAATGTTTTAGGTTTTTTATTTTCTCACTTTGAACCAACATCAGCAAAATATGTTAGGAAAAGTAAAGTCAAAATAAAAACTAAATATGTGAAATTTAAAATTTATTAATAATGTTCATATAAGCATGGCGCAAGCTTATTTCCATATTATTTAATTTAATGTAGTGTGTTTTTAAGATTAATTCTAAATTATGTCATTGATATTTTTTTATTTAATACAACTTAATTTTGAATTATATTTTATTTTCTATTGTGTATATAATTTCTTCTTTGATTTTGTCATTTAAAATCTTTCTTCACCTTTGTACGATAATTATATTACATAATTTTCTGTTTTTTACTAATTATAAATGTGAACAATGGAAATTTAAGTTGGTTATAATTGTTCCAGGTATTTTTACAGCCAGACTTGTCATTTAGTTTAAAAACGCAATTTTTGCAAAGTTTCTGTGTGGATGAAGTCAGAGAAGGATTAGTAATTGGTTTTTTACATCACCTCACAGCTACAGTAGCTGGATTTTGCAACGGATCCGATGTACCCAAATTTCCACCTACTCTATTACTTCTGCTCAGCAAAATGTGCATCGAGTACAAGGAGAGCAACGTCCGTTATTTGGTATTTAGAAATAAAAAATTTTAAAAGTGTCTTAGTTAATTATAACGCATTATAATAATAAATAAACTAGTATAAATTAATTAAAAATAAAAATGTGTGTGTGTGTGTGTGTGTGTGTGTGTGTGTGTGTGTGTGTGTGTGTGTGTACGCACGCGCGCATTATATATATATACAATATATATAAAATAATTGATATATTTTATTTATATTTTGCAGCTTACGACTATTGACGATCTTTTCAGTATTGACCAATATGCATCTTCAGAAAATATCATAACTCCTGGATCGGAAATGTGTGATAGTTTTCAAGAAGCTGCTCAGAATTTGTTAAACCACTATGTGCGAATTCAGGGATTAACAGTATCCCAAATGCTGCGAAAATCTGTAGAGACTAGGGATTGGTTACATACGATTGAACCTAGAACCGTGAGGGCTGTTATGAAAAGAGTTGTCGAAGATGTAACTGCCATTGATGCACAAGTTGCCGCTTTATACAATGACAATGATGGTCAGGTTGATAGAAGTAGTGACAGTAGTAGGAAGACTCATAGGTAAAAGATTTTTACTTGAACAATTTTAATATCTGGTTTTCAGTAAATATTATCTGGAAAAAGTTAATAT